GCGGGGTGACATGCCATGTCCCCAAGGCTAGGCCCCGTGTCCAGAGATCGCGTCGTCGGGGCCCCTGCCTTCGCCTGCTGCCCAATCCACTGTGCACCGGCCCCTTACGGGTCCTCCTGCAGGTGGTGGGCCTACGGGAGGAGTCCCCACGTTGCTCGTTCGGGCTAAGCCCGGCCGGGCCCAGTGAGGGGAGGCCCGGCCACCAGGCTCTTGCATTCGAGCCCCAACCCTGGGCCTGGCTCCAGGGTGGGGCCCCCGGCTGCGCCATGCCGGGCGACGTCACGGTCCTTGATTTCAATCTATTCATAAAGGGCTTTTGAACCGCTTTTAGTCTGACCCATCACCCAGGACCTGTTTGCCTTGGGAGACCCTACCAGGGACATATAGCCCCCGACAACATAGCTCCTAGGATCACTTGGGTACTCAAACCCCTCCACCACAATAAGGTGGCGGTTCAAGGAGGGGGTTGCATGTTGTGTGCTTGTGTATGTGTTTTAATGTGCATGCAGGGGACAAACAATACACTCACACAGTACAACTAGAACTCAAACACTTCACTGTGAAGCTTGAAATATCACGTGTAAAAGTACTCAATATGCAAAATGCCCATTTGACTGTATGTGTTATGTAAATTATCTATTGCTTATTAGTACTGAAGAGCTGCCAGTGTGTGGGATAGATTTAACAATTATACATAGATCAGCCAAAACATTATGACCACCTGCCTAATACAGTTTACATATGAGTCAATGTGGCAGTTGGTCAGCACTCGTGTCACTCTGCAGCTCACGATGCATCTTCTGTGAATCCATTTGCTTCCATGGCTCTACTGACAGGACGAGCACAGATGTGTCGACCGTTCTGTGAAAAAAAGGAGTGAAACCTGTGGTCGTAGGGACAAGTTAGACAAATTCACCAGCCTTCCCACTCTAGATGTGATATCACCACTATAGCTGCTGACTCTTTCTCTTCATAGAGGCCAATGTACAGAATTTCTCAATTTCAGCCATTTTAACAAAGATTCCAGCAAATGAAATCTTTTGGAAGGAATGAATGAAATTTGAGTTTATTCTCCAGTAGATCAACCTCATCATCGGTGATCTTTGGGTGTCCATGACCCTGTCACTGGTTCACTGTGTGTCCTACCTACCTGTTGGTAGGTATTGACCACTGCAGACCAGGAACACACAACAAGACCTGTAGTCTGGGTGACGCTCTGACCAAGTTGTCAGCCATCAGTTTGGCCCTGGTCAAAGTCACTCAGATCCTTAAACCTGTCTGTTTTTCCTGCTTCCAACACATCAACTTCAAGGACTGAATGTTCACTTGATGCCTAATGTACCCCACACACTGACAGGCGCCACTGTAATGAGATAATGTTTTTCACTTCACTTGTGAGTGGTCATAATGTTATGGCTGATTGGTGTAGACTGTTACCTTGGTTTCAAGGTAACTAAAGACTTCAGTTGTCAAAAAAATGTAATCTAATAGGCTGATCTGTAATGGAGTAGAAGAATGAAGTGGTATGAAATGGAAACAACTAAGTAAAATGCTTCAAAATTGTACTTAAGTAGAACTGTTGTGTCAGTAAATATTACAAGAGATGAACAAAAACTGGAGGTGGTTTTTTATGCGCAAAGATTTCATGTCAGAGTTGCAAGTGTATTATATTGTTTGTGGGTTTGTTTCACTTTGATGCTTATCTCCATCTCTGAGCAGGAAATGACCCAAATATTTCAGCAGCATCTGAGGCCAGTTGTTTCCCTTACTTGCTTAAAACAGGCTTGGTGTATTTGGTTACCTGTCTATCTATCTGTCTACATGGTTTCCCCTTTCTGCGTTAATACACTTTGATTCTTGTATATTTTTTCCACTCTAGTTCCCTTACAGTATCCCTCACTGGCTACTGAACTCTCCTATACTTAACACTTTTGTACCTCTGCTTGCCCTTTTCCATTTGACACTGGTGCAATGTTTGTGAAACTTTCCCCTGTATACTGTGAGAAGAGCTGAGTCAGCCACACCAGGCTCAGCTCTTTCTTACTCTCACCCCCTTCATCATCTCCTCAGTGCATGCTTACTCAACCACATCCTGCTTTTCACACACACAAACACACCGTCTTGCCGGGGTTTCTGTTTGTTGTTTATCAAAAAATCTGTAACCAACATTTTTGGTTTGTCTCAGTGTGCTTCAAGTATCCAACAGTCTTATGTGTGTCTGCAAGATTGCAGAAAATAATCTGTTTGATGCCTCATTTTCCCATTGACTATTTATTAAAAATCTTTTTCTTTCATTGATCTTATTGAAAACTGATGACAATATATTTTTAATTCATAAGAAACTGTATTTTATTCACATAACAAAATATGTAACAAATAATGAAGTACAACGGTAAAATCTGAATATCAGATACTTTATGATTTCACAACAGTTTGTTTTTTTCATAAGTGATTTCAACACGGGGCGGCATGGCGGTGCAGTGGTTAGCACACTTGTGTCACAGCTTTGTATCTGTGTGGAGTTTGTATCGTCTTCTTGTGCCCGCATTGCTTTCCTTAGGTACTCCGACTTCCTCCCACAGTTCACAGACATACAGGATAAGATACGTGGTGACCTGTAGGCCTGTATAGTTTGGCGACCTGTCCAATACCTGTACCCTACCTCTTGCCATCAAGCACGGTATATATTAGATTATGTATTGTATATATTAGATATATAAAATATAACACAACATAAAAGACATAGAACGTGTTCACAAAGTTTCTATGGAAAAATCATAAAAGCCCCCATGAAATTGTCAACAGACCCTGGACGTATCTTCTGTATATTTTCTAATGTGACAAAAATTTTATCACCACTCTGCAGGTGGAAAATCCCAGCCAGGAAACTGTTCCACAAATCCTCTGCCCCCGAACCCTTCTGGCTTGGGGGTTTTGGGGTCCAGCAGCGGAAACTAGTGAAAAAAAAAAAAGATTTCACAAGAAGAGAAGTTACAAAGCAAAATCACTGTCATGATGGTATCACTAGTGAAGCTCCAGACAGGTTGCACATACGTAAGCACAGGTGCAACCACAGAGGAAGGAAGTAAGGAGTGCTACAGTGACGAACCTTTTTGATTTCATGAGTTCTATGGAATGGCCATAGGCGCTTGTGTTTTTCATGACTTTGTGCTGGATAAGCAAACACTCATCTGCAGTGTTTAATTGCACTTTGGAGTAGAGGTAGTAGTAACCCTCCTTCTCAACTAACAGTCGGCCTGTGTCATAGCGCATGTTGTGGGTGATGGCTTCGCCGCCTTCATTTACCCACAGCACCACATTGCTCTCTCCTACTGGTTTGTTGGCACCTGCGGTAAAGGGGAAAAAGAGAGAATAGAGTTGTTTATAAAAGCAAGTTGGATTCAATTATTTGGGATATAATTAGGTTAGAGTAATGAGAGGGCTCTAACCCATCAGGTGAGCAAAGGGCCTCTGTTGGATCTGGTCCAGATGGTGTTGCACAACAGGAATCTCATTGGACTCTGTTCAAGGAAGCAGGATCAGATCAATTAGTCACACAACCAATCAATCAATATAAAAATCCACATTTAAATTTACATGCGAGATTTTACATGTTTTGAACTCTGAAGTTCTGGGGAAACAAAGGTGCAACTGTAACCTGCAATGATGCAATGAATCTTATTTACATCTTATCTCTTGTACTTAAATCATCTTAACTGAAGGCTGCTTCATTCATCATGTCTGTGACTTCCTTCCCAGAGACACCTGATGTATACAGAACATGAAACATAACAAACTTCAATAATCGATACTAACTCACCACCTCGAGGTCCCACTTGACTCATTAAGACCCCGCCCTGAAACAGAAATAGAGTTAAAATTAAAAACTCCAATGCACATCAGACCCTGAGATAGTGACCCAGTACCCAGAAATATGAGTACTGTCCACCCATGCCTACCTGTTGACCAGATGCACTGGGGTTGGACAGGTTCTGACAGAGTGGATGCAGCCTACAGAGGGAAATAACCTGCAGGGAGAAAAAAGAAAGTGAGAGACAACGAATGAACACATGAGCGTTAAAATCTATCAGTTTGCAAGCAAACTGTCAAAAGTTCATGAGTGTCTAAGAAAAGGAAACTCGTGGAGACTGGTAGAAATGTACACGAAGAAGTGTGTGAAAACATCCACACATACTAGATAAAAGCACCTTTTTGAACAATCAAAACCAATTAAATTTGTGGTGTCAAACAAACTGCTGTTTTTATTTGTTCAGATATGGTAATACAGATATTTGAATGCAAATAAAAACAAAATAACTGTTATTTTACATAAGAGTTTTCACACCTTCAGCCAATTGTTGTTGAGATGAAGGTTAATGATCATTACAGTAGCTGGTGAAACCGTATTCTTCTGTCATCACTATAAAAACTTTAGTTTTTATAAACAGTCACTAAAGGCTTGTAATTTTTAACAGTAGTGATGATTGCATAACATAATAGAGGCATGTGTAATAAACAGCATCATGAAACAGTCTAAAAAGTGAAGTTGTATTGTAGGTTTGGACTTGAGAGAGAAAGCAAAGGGAAGTAGAACTAGACAATCTCACGTTAGTCATTACTGACCTGAACATAAATGGCAATGTATAAAACGATTCGGCTGTTATCTATGATGTAAAGTAACAGGGGAATTCCAGAGCAAAGGAATTTCCACGCACTCCAAGCACACGGTCACATGCAGGCATCACCCTCACCTCTGTTTTTTTGTAGAGTTTGTAGATGAAACAGCCCTCGACGATCAGTCCAAACACAACCAGTCCCACCAGCGGGAGGAAAAACCTTTGGCCTCCTCTCATCCACCTCTGTTTCTTCTCGCTGGGCATGGAGACATGAGTGGCCTGGCTGTCCACCACAAACACCTGGGGGCAGGTGCCCACACCGCCCTCTGCCATCCCACCAGATCACACGCCACCTGGGATGTTAAGCACTAAAGGTGTTGCCTGAAGTGCTGACAGAGATAGTCTGGTGTTGGAGAGACAAAACAGAGAAACAGCAAAGTGAAACAGAGACCAACATCAGGAGGTTGACTTACATTGCTTACTGTAAGTATTATCAGTGCAATCAGCTTCTGGGAAACAATGATTTCAACATACCCTGAATACAGCAAGCACACACTGAAAGCCAATCATGGCAGGTCAAGCTAATTAAAAAGAAATCACCTATTCTTACATTATGTTCAAGACTTTCACCTTGGATTTAGACGTATACCAGATGTTCCTCCACGGCTCAGTCAACCATCCAGCAGCACAGTGTGGTTCTCATACACTTCTCTGAAGCTCCTTGAAGATATTGAATGGCAAATATGTCCTTAAACACCATTTAAAAATAAACGCAACATTAAAAACATTTTATGATATACTACTCTCTATTTTAAATTCTATAGGTGTCTCACCAGAGAAGAGAAAATCCTCTGTCTAGACCAGATTTCAGTCCTCCCCTCACTTCTTGTGTTCACTCGCCTGCTGTCAACTATCAGCAATATTGCTCTTCAAACCAGCTTATGTAAATGAGGAAATGAAGATGACATGGGGAAGAGGCAAGAGAGTGAGAGAGCCTGAGTAGCTGAGTGTGCGTGTGTGGGACACTCCCTATGACTACTGAATATAATTATTGTCCCTTCGCTGACATTTTTTTCTTTTCCTTTAGTTTCTCACTCTTTATGTCTCATGTTCTGTTGAACACATGGTTTGGTTTCTCACTGCCAGCACTTTTTTTGTCAGTTTCTGAGAAACGTCACTTGTTCTTGCTGAGCTGTATGCATTTGGGGATATTTTCAGTCTTTTTGAACCATACAGCTTGACACTGAGCAGTAGAAATGGTTGTGGAGGCTGAGTTGGGGGGCCAAGCTGTTAAACTCACAGCTGAATTGACCGCGATACCCACTGCTACAACCACAGCCCTGCAGCATTACAGCAGGTGTATATACTGTTGGTCAGAGTGCAGTTCATCTGGTTTTATGCTGCACTCTCACCTACAGTATATACACCTGATGTTTCAAGCATTTTATTCTGAGGAACTGGAGGTGGCTATCACAGCTAACTGAAGAGGACTAATGTGTTCCTCACTCAAGTGTAAGACCCAGTGTCAAGGTTTTCCTCCCATATTTATTGACACTGCTTTGATCACAAGTTGCTTCACTTTGATTTTTCTTTTCACCAGAGATTTATCAATACGTGTTTCCTGTTGTAGGGCACAGCACGTTTTGCCTGCCTTGTTAAGCTTGCAACATTCTATCAGTTTACAGAAATTCTACCTTAAGCCATGTGTGGCCAGCTGAGCAGAAGTGCAGAAATATAGGCAGGTTTTGTGGGTTATACAAATTTCTTTCTTCCTCTTTTTTCTATTTCATCATGAATCTGTACACCAAATATTCAGAGAAAATTTCTTCTCTTTATCAAATTGTTTTTCATATGCGCTGTATTGATTTGCAGGTCTTTTTGTCATTTTATTGCAGTTGAAATGTGTGAAATGTAATGAAGATCAGATAAAGAATCTAACTTAAGGTGATTCATTGCTTGTTCTCGATGAAACTTGTGGCCATTTGAACCCAGTCAGCATTTTTTTAATTTACTTGTAGGAAGGAACAGTTTGAAATGACAGACTGCAAATGTTAAAACCACACAACATACACCCTGACTTCCTTGCAACCCACACACATTAAACTGTTGCTTCAAACACATGCACACACGCATAAACACAAATGTGCACGGTGTTGAGTGAAGATAAAGAGGAGGGAGGACAGACGGAAGTCTACAGTTACGATGGGTCAGAATGAGGTTGCTGCTTGTTAAATAGTTAGACAAACCCAAAACCACAGTCGATAATATATTGCTGTAAAAGATTTAGAAATGGAAAATGATAAATCACTATAATACACTGTGACTCTCCCCCTCCCCAACCCTTTATATTTTATATGTTTATGTTTTTCTTTACATTTCATCATATTTTCAAAGCATTGCTTATTTCCTATTTTTGCCATACAACTTTTCCCATGTTGCTCTCAGTTCCCATATTGCAGACATCCCTAACATTTCTCTCCATCTCTCTTAAAAATCACCTTTCCTATTTTTTATTGCATATTTATATAATAATCAGAATGATTTGTCTGTATGTCTGAGACAAAGATTTTTTTTTTGCCTGTGAGTGTCTAACACTAGTATGAAAGGGACAGACTGGAGAAACAAAGACTAAATAAGGATAAAAGGAGTGTGTCACAAACTGTGTTCGATGCAGCTTTTTAAATGCTATTTGTCACAGTGAGTCATGGTTACTGTAATGTCAATAGTAGCACCAGTGCTTTTCCGATTATGACACGTCAAAATGCCTGCTGTGCAAAAGGTCCACTGGGTGTCTATTACAGAAAAAACTGTGAATAAATGGACAAGGTAAGAATGATTTCATATAGTGTGCTAAAACCTGAGATTTATAAATAGGCTAACTCAGTCTGAAGTCATGTCGTACAATTAAACCACACTGTGGTTTTAGTGACGTTTTTGACACAGCTGCGACTAATGCATTTAATGATGGTGAATATTCAGGTGTCAGCAGCCAAACAGTGACAGTAACAGTGAATACTGTTGGTGCTTGCTAATTAGCCTTTATAAAACAAGCCTAGCCATTATTATTTTCCATAGTTGTGACTGCAATAAGGGTTCTGTCAGAAAATGAAAGTACTGTACAATTACCTTGGGATTTTTAAAATTATTTTTAATATCTTATTTGACATGTGCAGCTGTGCTATCAGTGATTTGTGTTTATCTGATACCAGCCTTTCAGGACAGGTTATGGTTTGCAGAGGGTAGCACAAGCTGTTCATGGGGTAGCTACGGCTCTCGTCCATTTCAGGTTTTATAAACATGTTCAAATGAAAGGTTTACTCCACCCTGGAAAGAACACTTTCTAAAAACTGTCACACACTGACAAATCTAGATTACCGGTCAAGAACAACAAATGGCCTGGGGTCTGATATCATTTGGATGAACATAATTTCATCAGTCACACCTTTATTGGAGATTTGCACTACTTAAATATCAACTGACAGATCCTTCATCCTCCACCTTGTGCTTCATGGAGAGGAGCCCTATATAAACGTCTAGTTTTAAGACCTTTATTGTTTTAGCCTGAGTGAGTTGTCTGGCCATGTACAGTCAAAAGAGATGATTTCTTACTAGCAACTGGGTAATAAAGCCTTTATTTACAATGTTCACATTTGATGACTGGGACAGGGGAACATGGAGCGGCACAGCGGCATGGTGGTTAGCACTGTTGCCCCACAGCAACAAGTTCTGGGTTTGAGCCAGGGCCGACTGGGTGCCTTTCTGTGTGGAGTTTGCATGTTCTCCCTGGGTCTGTGTGGGTTCTATTCGGCTTTCTCCAACAGCCCAAAGACATGCAGCTTAGGTTGACTGGAGACTCTAAATTGCCTGTAGGAGTGTGTGTAGTTGTCTGTCTCGTCTTGTGATAGACTGGCGACCTGTCCAGGGTGTACCCTGCCTCTTGCCCAATGTCAGATGGGATTGTCTTCAGGGGCCCTATTCTAGATTAAGTATTTTGGATAAACCAGAAAACGTTTGGCATTCTTGCTTCAAAATCACTTATGCGGTTAATTCATTATCCAGTAATTGACAATTAATTTGCTGACTATCCACTAATCAGTTATTCAACTAGCCAAATAATTTCAGTTGGTTTCTAGGTGTCTGGGGAAATAAAGAAAGCGCTGTGGGGACCAGCAATATGTTTTTGTCCCAATGCCCTTTAGCTCGGTCACGTATGCGTTTAGTTTTACTGTTGTTCGTAGCTGTCAGTACAGTACATACTCCATAACAGGTTGTAACAACGAACTCGCCGGGTAATGAAACACTAACTGGTTGAAGACCTCAGCCCTGCAGTGATTGGAGGAGAACTGCTACTCTTCCTCTTCTGATTGGTCCTCAGCTGTGTCCTCGTTGGCGGGTCTCCGTCCAATCACAAAATATCGCGAAGTTCTACTGCGGAAGAAAGATGCGAAGGAGATGGCTGAATTTAGATAGCCCTGTGTTTGGGATTATCTCCATCATGGACGTTCTCCGGAGGAAAGAGGGGAGTAGGGCACGGCTGCTTGTCCTCACAGTAGTATTTGGGTGGTGTTTAAGTTCTGTGGGCTGTTTTGCACAGAGCAAAGACAGCGAGTTCACCTTTTTGCTGCCAGCCGGATCTTCCGAGTGCTTCTTTCAGACAGCAGTCAAAAATGGTACGATGGAGGTGGAGTATCAGGTAACTGTGTGTGGTCTGCACACAAAATCACTCACTGAGTTCACAGTTATCTGTTAGAGGATGTAGGGCTGGGTTGTCGGTGCGGCTAACAGTTATTAGCTGTGATTCCTGTAGCTAGCTGACATCTGAGCCTGCATGACATCAACTGCAGCTGTAAGCACATGGCAGCTCATACCCAGCCTTTACCTTTACACTGTGAGAGTTAACATGAAAAGTGAGGAAACTGTCAAATAGCTATGTAGGTGTAGCTAGGTCACGTTTTCCAGATACAGTGCAAAAATGGTAAAATAGGCTACATAAGGCCATAAACATCCTGGTAGCCTCTGGTCATCCAGCAAGTTCTTGTCCTTGTTTGCAAGACTTAGAGGACCAGGAGGGAAAACCATCTGTTGTCTCAGGTTTATTCATACTCTCTTTCAGAAGCTTTGAGGATCATGAACAGAATCTTAAAGTCAGTAACTAATGTGGATGTAGAGGATCCTTAAATCTTTATTAAAATGAAATTAGTCACGATAGCTCTGAGTACTCAGTAAAATATCCAGTCTGGGGCTGAAACTCAGTTATTTTCATTATTCATGCATCCAGGTATTTTCCACTTGAAGCATTTGGCCTGCAAAATATCAGAAAATGTGAAAATACTGATTGTAATTTTCCAAACACATTCAAATGGCTTTTATGTCCAATTATGAATTTACTACTACAGGGGAGTTAGAAAATTGGCAAGCGTTCACATTAAAGGCATTAGAACTAGTGGATTGTGTTTACTTAAATAGCTGCTGGTTCATTTAGTGACAGACCTCTTCAGCTCTACTACTGTCAAACATGTGTAACACCATTTAAATGTCTCTTAAAACGCTTATTTACACAGGCACATGACTCATAATAAAAGTTATACTATTCAGCACTGTGTTTGTTTAGTGGGAGTTTCTAAGAGGTACATTATAAACAATTAAGCTCTCTTGAAACGCCTTGGGGCGTTCTCGTGACCTAGATACATGTCATATAAATATAATATGCACGGTATGATGGTTGTTACATGTCATACCTCGTCAATCTACACATATTTCCAGTCTATACCTCAAGTGTATCTAATTAGATATAATAAAAGAAACAGAACAACAAAGAAATGTGTTTTATATTGTGGTTCATTGTGAGCCTGTTGTTCAGTACGTATGTGCTCTGGTGTGTGTGTGTGTGTGTGTGTGTGTGTGTGTGTGTTTGTTTATTCAGGTGATAGCAGGTGCTGATATGGATGTAGACTTCACCATCCTCTCACCAGAGGGCATCTGGCTGATCTACGAGTCTCGACGCTCTGATGGACTCCATGTGTCAGTGCAGCCTAACATTGACCTCAGCTCTTAATCATAGTTCATAATTCTGACTCAGCATTGTTGGACCTACCTGTCTGACTTAGACTGTACTTCCTGCTCTTCCAGGGTGGAGTCTACAGTGGAGGGAGACTATCAGATCTGCTTTGACAACAGCTTCAGCCGCTTCTCAGAGAAGGTGGTGTTCTTTGAGATCATCATTGAGGGTCAAGGAGGAGATGTGGGTGGAGATGATGAGTGGGCGGGTTTAGGCGAGCCTGATGGAAGCCTGCTGGAGTACAAGCTGGAGGACATCAAGGTGAGATGCATGGCTTGGGTTTAGATTTTTATTCTGAAGGGAAATCCAGTTCATTATCAGCTGACCTCTAGTTAAATCCCTGTTGCTAACAGAAATGCTCAAATATCTTCTGAACACCCAGGTGAGACATTTAGCATGTTTTTATTAAACACTTTTTTTTCAGAATTAGATCTGTCCTTGCTCTTGTAGAATTCAATACCCTTAATTATACTGTACCTTGAAAACAACAAGCTGGATAATGGTTTACTTTCTTTGTCCATTAACTGTTAAGCTGCTTTAATAATTTGTCAATTTAAAGGATAACGCTGGCATTATTTTATATTTTTATCATAAACAAATCCCATGAAAGGACAAAATCAAAAATGAACTGATTCTAGGGTGCACCCTGATGGCTAAATGGTCACAATCAACACTCCATATACCCAAACAGTCTGTACGGGATGTCGGCGGTTGGACTCGAACTTCTGAAATTTGTCATAGGTCGCCTTGTCTGTCTGCTTCTCTGTGACACACTTAAGAAAATAAAAGCAAAAAAATGCTACATTTACTTTTTATGCTATGAAACTGCGTTGAGTGCACAAAAGGAAGGAACTGGTTGTTAAAATTGGTATTAAAAAAAAGTATGGGAACCTGTATTGAAAATTTTGGATTGATGCCCAGCCTATCTGTGCCAGAGCTCCATCATTATTCAAAGACCACTGAAAACACAGCAGTGAGCCACCAGGTGACACTTCCTCATAATGATGAAAACACATAGTCATTTATTTGAAGCCCGTCCCATTGAGGTGACTGTCCTGCTGCTGTACATATTCACTAGAGCACCAACTGTGTATTAATCTGCAGCTGAAAATAGTCCCCAACAGATGCACTGTTAACTCCGGTTTGAGTAATGTTTGTTAAAAACTACAGTTCCCAGCTGTTTTATTACATCATTTGGTATTTTTTTTCAAAGCCATTTTATTTTGTCGTTAATTAGGGGGAAAAAAGTTGAGCTCAGACCTGAGAGCCGCAGACAGTCAGGGGAAGTGGAAACGTATTGAAAGACCAACGCACTGTTGGTTTTGATGTTCTCATGGTTTGTGCTGGCAATATGGAAAAGGTAGAACAAGGTCAGCCACTAATATGTGCCCACTACAAAACTCCTAACTGGCACCATTGGCTGGAAACATTAGCTGCTCTTCTAACAAACCAAACCACAGTGATGGTTGCAACGAGCGTCATGGTTTGACACAGAATCAAAACCAGCATAGAAAATAATTGAATTGTCTTGAAACAGGTAAGGTGTAGCTGTCAGCCATTGGCATCTAGTGTTATCAGGGGCCTCAACTGAGGATGTGTAATGAATACTTAAAAACTCTTGTCATGTTGAGACCATCTTGTCCATTGAGTCATTTTGTTTTTCTCACTTTATCACTTCTCTGTCATTGCAACCATCCCGTATTTCCTCAGGAGTCCATGGACTCACTGTACAGACGCTTGGAGCGCAGCCGGCAGATGCAGACGGTGTTGCGGGCCTTTGAAGCACGGGACCGAAACCTCCTGGAAGATAACCTTTGGAGGGTCTCATTCTGGTCTTGTGCTAGCATGCTGGTGATGCTATGTGTGGCCCTCACCCAGGTAAACAGACCACGGACACACCACAGAGTACAACACCGTAACTTACCTGCTAAAGGATTGGGGTAATCACATTTCTGAGGGTTTACAAGCTGTTTGAATGACAGTAGCCAACATGCTGCTCCAACTGTTTATTCCTCCATTGCCAGGTCTACACTGTCCGTAAACTGTTTGATGATAAGCGGAGGGTCTGCACATAGAACATCGTGCTGCATTTCCAGACAAGCTGTGAAGGAGGACAATCCCCACACGAGATGTTTAGCTGGTTACCTGTTCAAATTATGTTCCAATTTTAATTTCATACATTGTTTTATATCGGTTTGTAAGCAATAATTAAATATTAGAAGGGTAACCAGATAATGAAGAGTCAGGGAAAATTGAAGCTGGTCATTAGTGCCTTTAATGTCAAAGTGTACCTCAAATCAATGAGGAAATACATTTTTAGACAGAAGAACAAAAGTGTAGTCTAACTGCTGTCCTATATTTTGAAACTGGTTTGAGGTTCATGGATTTTTTTATTTTTTTGCTAAAGCTGAAATGACCCTAATAAAAGTTAAAGGTTGGTTATACAACACAGAACTGTTTGCTGGTTTACAAAGGATAACAGTGTGCAATATGGGTAATGATAGATTTGTTCCTGATGGTGTAAGATCCTGCCATTAGAATGGGGATTTGTCAGTGTCTGTCCTTTGAGCCTTTTGGACAGGTAATGTCGAGATGTTACTGATTTCTTGTCATGTGCCAGTACAACTCCATGTATTTCTTCCAGTAGTTTTGCTATTTCTTCCCCCCTTGGTTCTACTCGGTCAGCCATTGAATGTTTTTGTTAATTAACAGTGGACCTTTTTATATATTCTACAAAATAATCAGGTTTTTGTGGGAGTCACTGATATTAATTTTTTGTTTTCCTGAATTGGTTGGTGACAGAGCTGCCAATTTCATAATATTTGTAAATATGTCATGTGGTGATTAGAATAGTCACTGAAAACAATAAAGCAAACTCTCTACCACAAAGACTTGTCTTAAAAACATGATTTTTGCAGATGTAGCGCCCCCTAATGTCTGACCTGAACAAAAACTGTGGTCAAATACCAAGTCATTTAAAGAATGAATTAACTGCATTTGATGCTATGATAATACAAATACATGTCAAATTTAAACATTGCTACATTGAGGCTTTTTTGATTTACTATGTAAATTGATCAATGTGGGTACCAACTTATTTTATAGTTCATGGCATCCACAAATAGTTGTTTTACACATACTGTCTAGCAATACAAGAAAAAAAAAAGATGTTGGTGTATAAATAATGATTAATACAATATACCATTTGTGTGTGTGTGTGGACTATATTTTTTTGTCCACCTATTTGCATCTACATAGTGTTTCTTAGTCTTTAATTCAGTACATACAGATTTAAAAGTATTTCAGTTGTATTTAGAGGCAAAGAGAGTGATATACATTGTATATTAAAAACTAAAAACACTGTGCTAGCCTAAAACTTACCTCAGTGTATAGAGATTACAAGTATTTTGTACAATTTCATTTATTTGGAGTGATGTAGTTTTTTCATTGTGGACTAAGACAACCCCAACATTTGACTACAACTACCCTCAAAATGTATGTCCATTATTTTTGCATCATTCTCCTCCTTCAATGTCAAACAATAAAGCATCAACAGATTCTAAAGTTTACACAGGAAACAGCTTTAGAGAAGAGAAACTGGCACGGCACCAGGCAGAGCAGATTCTTCCAGCATCTGCTGGCTGAGTCACTGAGGGGTTACAGAGTTAGTGGGAAACATACAGCACGTGTTCCCTTCACCAGTGGCTGGGACGGGAAGGAGGTCGCCTGTGTGAGAAGACCACAATAAGACTTCTAGTAAGTTTTTGACAACATAGATCAGTAGCGCACAGCTGACGGCCAGAGCGGAGGAGGAAAAGATCAGCAGAAACATTTGCTGATTCCCATGCAGCTCAACCGGCCCACGAACAATATGCAACGCTATTGTTACTATGTTGCCACTGACAACCACAGTTACCATGGCGACCTATAGCTCCATCATACAGTAAGGAAGGAAGGTCATGCAAGGCTGCATACAGAAAAGCAAAAACTTCTGGAGACGGTTTTGACCTGGACTCTGTTGTGACAGGAAGCATGTACTGCATGTTCAGTTTGTGAAAACAGCACTTTGCATGAATGATAAAACAAGACAAACCTGAGAAAGAAATGAAGCAAAGCATGTCTAACAACAGAAAGAACCAACAGCCACCATGCCTTCTTTTTTCTGTTCTTTTATTCAATCTATTGCTTTCTACACCTTCTGAAAGAGAGGCCCTTGTTCTTACATGATCTTTGTTTTCATTATGGCTTGTGACGATAGTGATTTATGAAGGAATTAGAAAATCATCTTTGCCAAGGCACTTCTTTTCTCACTGAGGATGAGCAGTTGTGGGAGGAAACTGTCAGAGGACGCATGGATGTGCAAGGTCAGTCTTACCTCATTACTGTATTATTGTCAGTAACACACCAGAAGACATCCAGCTGCTGCAGTGTCTCCCCCCAACCTTCTTCCTCCTATGTCTCATGGTTAATTGGTCCATAGAAGAGAAGTACTAATGCCTAACTGTACTTGAAAATCCTTGCAACACAATAATTGGCAAAAAAAATGTTGAAGCACTCAAATTCCACTGGTCAGTCTAAACTTTAATAAGCTCATCTGAAGGTTGACTGAATTGACCAAAACTGAGGAGGAAAAGGACTTTATCAAAAAGTGCTTTTTACTTAATGAGGTGCTTAGTGTGTAAGATTACTGACAAAACATTAGCAGATATACAACTCCTTAGCGTTATATAAAAAGTTGAATCATAAATTGTTTTGAGGCACATTTCATTTCAAATGAAACAAGCAAAATCTAAGGTGACAAGTCAATAAAACCATCCCTTTTATAATGCTGAAAGCAGACAAGTTCATAAAGTCAAAAGTACATACATAATGCTTCTGAAATGCACAGACTGACACAGCATCCGATTCCCAGTTACAGTAGGACAAAGTGTAAACAAGAAGAAAACGTGCTTGCGAATGCGTTTCTAGTCAAGCAGGGAGGGCTCTGAAGGACGTATGATAGTGGGCCGGTTGGGAGCAGCCGGGGGTCTTCTGCTGCAGGAAGAGAGGAGGGACAGAGAGAGAGAGGATGGGAGGTATTGAGGGGAGAGAGAAACATGCAAGGCAAGATATCATCAGATATTCATGCACCAATGAATCCCAAACCACCAAAAGACAGAACATAAAGCACAGTCCTTCAGCAGCAGCTCAGTCCACTTTCACATCAACTTCCCACCAATATCAAAGCCACAAAAGAGTATATGTGTGTGTACATGCACGGTTTTACCTGGGAATCCCCGGCGGCAGCGCAGGAGGCACCCGGGCCGGCCTTGATGGAATAAGAGGCACGCCTCCAGAATTGGGATCGGCTGCGTACGCTGTTTGGCCTGGCGGGGGTCGAGAGGGCACGGGTGGTACTCCGAAAGCTGGAGAGGTGCTGAGGGGTGGTGGAGGACCGGGGGTCGGCCCCCTCACTGCTGGGGGTCGACTGGGAGGGGGCACGAATGCTGAGGCAGGGCGAGATGCTGGTGGAGGGCTGAAACACAAGAACCCAACACTTCTGAGTAAAAAGTTACAGTGGTGTGAAAAAGTATTTGCCCCCTTACTGATTTCTTATCTTTTTGCATGTTTGTCACACTGTAATGTTTCAGATCATCAAACAAATTTAAATATTAGTCAAAGATAACACAAGTAAACACATCATGCAGTTTTTAAATGAAGGTTTTTATTATTAAGGGAAAACAAAATCCAAAACTACAAAGCTCTGTGTGAATAAGTGTTTGCCCCCTAAACCTAATAACTGGTTGGGCCACCCTTAGCAGCAACAACTGCAATCAAGCGTTTTCGATAACTTGCCATGAGTCTGCCACAGCGCTGTGGAGGAATTTTGGCCCACTCATCTTTGCAGAATTGTTGTAAGCCAGCCACATTGGAGGGTTTTCGGGCATGAACTGCCTTTTTAAGGTCATGCCACACCATCTCAATTGGATTCAGGTCAGGACTTTGACTAGGCCACTCCAAAGTCTTCATTTTGTTTTTCCTTCAGCCATTCAGAAGTGGACTTGCTGGTGTGCTTTGGATCATTGTCCTGCTGCAGAACCCAAGTTCGCTTCAGCTTGAGGTCAAACGGATGGCCGGACATTCTCCTCCAGGATATTTTGGTACACAGCAGAATTCATGGTTCCACTTATCACAGCATGTCTTCCAGGGCCTGAAGCAGCAAAACAGCCCCAGACCATCACACTACCACCACCATATTTTACTGTTGGTATGATGTTCTTTTTCTGAAATGCGGTGTTACTTTTACGCCACACATACAGAGTTAAGTTATGTTTTGACAGGGGGGGGAAACACTTATTCACACAGGGCTTTGTAGTTTTGGATTTTGTTTTCCCTTAATAATAAAAACCTTCATTTAAAAACTGCATGATGTGTTTACTTGTGTTATCGTTGACTAATATTTAAATTTGTTTGATGATCTGAAACATTACAGTGTGACAAACATGCAAAAAGATAAGAAATCAGTAAGGGGGCAAATACTTTTTCACACCACTGTATTTGAAAATGAGATGTCCACTAAATCCTGTTCAACATTATAGAGTTTTCATTTTCCTTAAAGAAGCTTAATAAATGTTTTGGATTATAAGATGCACCATTTCTGATACTAATATCTGCAGAAAAATCATCCTTCAAAGCTTAAGGATTCTATGAGTATACTAAAGCAATTTAAGAAATATGAGTCAAAACAAAGAAATAATGAGCAGTCGAGTAGTTGGAAAACTTACCACTAGTGGATGCCTATTAGATATATTTTGAATAATAAAGCCAGTGTTTAGCAGTGAGCATCAGGCACTTTTGCACTAATAGTAATTATACAGTATATTCCATTTATAGGCTTAAGTGTCTAATTTAATGCTCTACTGGTATTGTAGTTAAACACAATAGTAATAACTTTCCTATTGTTTGGCCACTAAATCATTTTTTATGACATAGACATAACAACAAAAGAGAACCATGAAAGCACCATGACATCTCCAATATTTCAGACCCACCTATCTGAGCCTTTACACCGTCCATCCCTGCAACACTTTTTTCAGGGCAGTTACCTTGGGTCCTTGGCTATCCAGGTGTCATCTACTGGTGGAGGCACCGGCGTAGAAATGGTGGTGGTGCTGATGTCTCCAATGATCACCAGGGCCTCTTTCAGCGCGTGGTACATCCTCAGCATCTCATCTCTCCTCTGAGCCTGTTCTGCCGACTCCTCCATCAAACTGCCCTGGTCCCCGGCCGAGTACAGGTAGGCCAGCAGCTCGGAGTGAATAAAGTCCTTCGCCTGGAAACGAGAGAGCAAAGATATACAGTAGAATAGCAGAAGAGAGTGGCACATGTTACTGATGAGTGACTTTTCAACTCATTTTTCATTTATACGCTCTCGATCTGAGAACCCTTGAAGTTGAGTATAACTACAGAAAACAAGACAGGTGAAGCAGATAACACACGCTGTTGATCATGAGGTGCATGATGGTTTTGGGCATGAGGTCTCTGATGGACTTGTTGACGATGCCAATATAGGAGTCCACGAGGTTGCGGATGGTCTCCACCTGCCGTTCCAGCTGAGGGTCCATGGACAGGGTGTCAGTAGGATTCATCGCATCGTCGTTCTCAGGCTGGAGGAGACGAGACAAAAGAGATGATAAAGCAGATACAGAAGCAGAGATGTAGAAACAGTTTCCATCAGCTGCATCTCTACTGGCAGTGGTAACGCTCCAGGCTTAAAAATTAATTAAACTAGTCGTACCCAAATATATGCAAACAGTCGACAAAGCTGATTGGCAAACATTTACATTATGTATCTTTAAATATCCTTAGGCTACATTTCAAGAAACAACGAGACCCTTTATAAATACTATTTGCTAATGATTTAGTCTGAAAATGTTCAAAAAAAAAAAACCTCCTGTGCACCTGATCTTTCTCTGGGTAAACACCAGCTCTCAGGAACGAAGCCTTCCAACTGTCGACATCCTCCTGACTGTCACATGCCAGCTCAATCTGTCGCAGGTCTTTATACACATTCCTGCGATGCAAACATGTACAGTCATCAACCAAAAGATTAAAATGGATGAACACTATACACACTGTTTAGAGGCTCATAGAAGATTCACACCTCTGCTCAGTGTTGAAGATGGCAAAGACATGTTTGCTGGACATGAAGCCTTTCTCCACATCTCTCAGCTTCAGGTTGTCCAGAGGTAGCATGTACTTCTTCTCCTTCTCCTGATCAAAGTGATGTAGTGATAAATATTAACCATCAACTCTGTCACGACTACAGTCAGTCTTACAATAGTAACACTAAATCTGCTGAATGTCTTTGGAAAATAAAAGCAAATGTCCTCTAACTATTTCCATACAGAAAAGGAGAGCAAATATTTTTGTGTGTTTACTAAACCATAAGGAGTCTCACCTCTTCATCTTTGTACCAGGAGAGAGACTCGGCAGTCAGGACAAACCAGTAGTCCTTGGATCCTCCCTTCATGATACTGATGTTGATGGTGAGCCAGCCTCTGCGGATCACCTGCACACCAGAGTCCAACAGATGACTAAACTGCACTCGCCACAAGACGGGTAATGTAGATACACTGCAAGTACGTAGAATACTAAAAACCTATGAAAGGCCCCAAAATTTATTGTACATATTCAAAGAAGTGATGCAGTAAACACAACAGCCATGCAAGTGTAATAGTATTCATCATAAAAAATGAAGATCACAGTGCAGCCAGATCATCCCCTACAGTACTTATTGAAATAACACACCACAAACAGAGAGAGAGTAAAAACAAGTGATGAAAAATCACCTTCTCTGCATCCGCCTCTCTGCCAGACTGACGGGCAAGAAAGGGAACAGACATACAGGGACACTAAGTGGACCAATGCAATACCCCAGTCTGGGTGGCACAGTATAACCATGAATGTATGGCAGAGTTGGAGTCAGCCTCACAGGGGCTTTGTTCAAAATGGCAGCATGGATAACCAGATATCCAACATATGATCAAAACTGGGATAAAATGCATAGCTGGCATACAGCACACATAATGTATGTGCACCTTCAACTTGAGTCATTACGTAGTTATGTACTCCACAACAGACATCTGTATAACTGTTGACAGAACACCTGCTAATAAGGTTTGACCATTACGGACCTGATGGAGGACATTACAAGTGCTATGGATGAGAGGAAATACACGATAGGAATATTTATTGACCTAAAAAAAAGCATTTGACACAATCAATCATGAGTTATTAATGGATAAGTTAGAAAAATATGGGATCAGAGGAATGGTTCTGAAATGGATTAGAAGTTATTTGACACAGAGGCGTCAATTTGTGAAGTTGGGTGAATACCAATCGAGTGAGCTGGATATTGTATGTGGAGTGCCTCAGGGTTCTGTTTTGGGACCTAAATTATTTATA